AGAAATTAGTTTAGCGGGTGTTGTAGTGCAGGTTTAATCCCAGCACAGGGATCCCAGCAGGCAGATCTCCGAGTCTGAGATCAATCTGGTCTATATAGTGAGTTCCAAGACACCCAGGGCTACACACTGAGACCTTGTCTCAAAAACTAACTAACTAAATAACAGATAAGTGTCTCTTCACCCCACCGGTTGCTGTCTCCTTCCTTCTCTCCTCTCCCACCGTCTCCATGTCTCCCTGACTCATGACCAGCTGATTGGTATTCAAAGCTGAGTTGCTTCAAACATCAAATACCATGGGAGTCGCTCTATGTTAATTAACTAAAACATAAACCAAAGGACTTCTTTTTTTTTTTTTTATAAAATAACATGATTTATTACTATTTTAAAACAAGTTTCACAAAATAACATTCAGAAACTCAATATTACTAAATAATTTAACACACAATAACTTTAGTCATAAAGTCATGCTACAAAAGTCCTGTGTATAAAAGACCGTTACCAAAGCTTTAACTGATGTTACAATGTCCTTCAGAATGAATGTGGCTCTAGAAGCCAAGGCTTTGGGAATGATGCCCCTGGCCACTAAGGGCAACCGGGAATTCAGCTGTTGACAGGCATGGTCCTACTGGACGACAGCATCACAGTGATCTCCCACAGGGTCTCCCAGTGATCCAAAAGCTAAGCTCCTACCCATGTGATGTAGCCAACACCAAAATGAATTTTAAAAATCTAGGTATGGGCTGGGTGTGCATGCCTTTAACCCCAGCACTGGCAGAGGCAGGCGGATTTACCAAGGGCAGCCTGGTCTACAGAGTGAGTTCCAGGACAGCCAGGGAAAGCCTGCCTCAAAAAACCAAATGGAAAAAAAAAAAATCTAGATCGGGAAAGAAAATACCCACTGTTTCTATCTGAATAGGAATGCTGTTTTACATCCTCCCAGAGGGATGAACTTGGACACAGCAGCCCAAACAGGAAAGGCAGGAAACCCTAACTGACCATGAAGACAGACAGCATTTCAGCTGAGTAGGCAAGGGCTTAAGTCTGAGTCTGGAACACCTGTATGCAGGCTGGGTAGCAACCACCTCCCCTTTGGAAGTAGTTCCCACCACCAGCCACACTCATAATTTTAAAGTGCAAATCTACTAAAAAAATAGTTTATTCTCTCTACCTCCTTGCTAAATTTGTTAGATCATAATTTGGTTGTCTCTGTAATCTGCCCAATATGGGAAATTAATGAGAATCTGATTACAATTTCTCCATGTGTCAAGTGAACCAATTTATATCAGGTTAGAAGTCTAGTTTTTTCCTTTCAGGTTTCTTTTTTACAACTAATGAAGAAAGGGCAGGGATAGATACATAAACATGGAATTCTAAAAGTTAAGCGATTCTTAACATAAGCCTAAGTTTTAAGTTTCATCTTTACACTTTACACTTTGATGGGATGGGTGAGTCCGTCACACCAGGTAACGACAAAGGAATCTGGTCAAGTCAGCTGTCGGAAACAGCCCCACTCTGCTGCACTCGACCTTGTTTCATTACTCTGGGACTCACTGTCAGCCCACACAAAGAGCGTGTGGTCCCGGCTGACTGGCGAAGGACAGCCTGCAATCTGGTTTTCCCCCTTTACTGTGGCCTTTCCGTTCACAGCCTCAGTGAACTATGAACTACACTTCAGTCAAAGACGGCTCCTCAGAACACCACCCTACCACCCATTTTCCAAGCAAATGATGAGATCCAAACTTTCTAGGCTGGCCACCTGCTTTTTCATTTTAACCTTAAGAAAAGCTCAGGTAAAAGATCCCAATTTTGTTTTCCATGTCACCAACTCTGAGCCAATGACAGATTTAGTTCTCATTGTCCCTTATTTTACTTTCAGACCACTGGCAAAGGTATCAGAAGAAACAACTATTCAACAAGAGATTTCCACCCCACAGCCACATGTAGGACACCAGGAAGCTGCCAAGTCACTGACCAGTTAGGGACAGCATCCTTATACTCAGTGGCACTGGACATCTGTCACAGCTAATGTCCATGCATGAGCAAATGAACACAATGCTGTCTAGATTAAAAGACACAGTCTGCAAAAGAATGTGTGCATGGTGATACATTTTTTAAAGTATATTCCAAATATTAAAGTTGGATTTTGTTGACAGTGAGAGAGAGAGGCTAAATCACTAATCACTGAGCAGGATACACATAAGGGGACACGTAACTGAAGTTGAAATCCTTCAGAGAGAAGGTGGAGCGTCTAGGCCTGAGTTTCTAAGACTGTGAGGCCTATGAAATTGAGCATGGCTTAGAGGGCAGCCCTACTGATCATCTCCAGCCATGGTGGTAAAAGATGTCACTTTCTCTCAATAATTCTAGCTACACAGAACTACAGGGTTAAAGTGAACAAAACCTAGACAGAGGGGTGGTGGAACAAGAAACTGGGTATGTCCATGTCACCCCCCCTCCCCTGCTCCAGGGGACAGTGAGCAATGTTTGAAGTCATCTTTTGGTATCATAACTAGAGAGAAGGAGCTATTGGCATCTAGGGAGTAGGAGAGAGGGTTGTGGCTAAACAGCCTATGATACACAGCCCACAACAGTGGGTTATGCAGTCCAAATGTAAACAGTGCTGATACTGAGGCCCTCTGGTGCAGGAAGCAGAGAGCACAAAAGCCTTTCAAGGCCTGGCTAGACAATATGACCATTAGCTCAGCATTAGAAAACACAGAAAATGGAATTATGATCTACCAATACCGTAGTATTGATATGAAAAATGAAAATACTGGACTGACTCCCGCACTCTACCACTATTTAACAGAACAGCAGAAGTTCACATGAACACAGCCAGCGTCTGTTCGGAGGTGGTCCAGTCTCCGACCTGAATGGCATAAACACCCTATATGCACTACATTTTTTTGCAGTAAAACATGACTTAATGAATAATCAGAGAGAATAGCCTTAACTTTTTCATATACCCAGCCTTCTATCCTCTTTCCTAATTGAGTGCATTTGGCTTTAATTCCAGAAACAGAGATGCATTCCAATATTTGTGGAGTAGAGCCAGAAGTGATTTTTTGTGAGAAATAGGCACAGAAAAGCACCTTACACATCTCTGAGAACAACCACTGATTATACAACATTAAGAAATGGGGGAGGGGTGTTTCCCAATTACAGAATTTGGAAAAAAAACCCAACAACCCATGTTTACTGTAAGTCATTTCACAGATCCAGTATGAAGCCATCTACTTCCCATACTCACTCCCAGGATACCTTTCAGGAAGTAGAGCCATACATAGCAACAGAGCTTGCCTTGTGCAAATTACAAATAACAACACTGTTCCCTCCAAGTTTATAACCCTTCTGCATCAACAAGGAAAATGAAGTCTCACACCTGTGGCTAACAATGGAAATGCCAATGGTTCTGAATGTTAACCCTGGTGGCAGGGTAGTTTCTTCCCACCAGAAAAGCTTAAAAGAAGTATATAAGGTATTAGACTAGGTATTATTTTTAAAAAATATATTATTTCATGTGTATGAGTGTTGTATGTGCAATGTGTGTGCCTGATACCCCCAAAGGCCCAAAAGGGCATCGAATCCCCTGGAGTTCCAGGCAGTTGTGAATCTCCACATGGGTGCTGGGAAGCAAACTCAGGTCCTGAGCAAGTGCTCTCAGCCTCTGAGCTGTCTGCAGCCCAAGACTAGGCATTCTTGTTTGGATTTAGAGTTGATTGTCAAAGCAGTGGTCCCTTTTGCTCAGTCTGACTTAGAGGAATAAAGTCATTCTTACTGAAATGATGGCTGTTCAGTCTCTCAAATCAAGACTACTTATGCAGCCTTTAAAAAGAACGACTGCCCTTTTTCCCTGTGGTTGCTTACAGGCAGGAAGAATCCCATGGAGATGGCAAGAGGAATCGGTAGCCTCTGCTGAGACGTTAGGCACAATTTGGCAGGGGGTCCTGACTTCTTTTCTGCAGCTGATGCCTCCACCACAGCCCACTAAAGACTCCGTTTGACATTTTTCAGAATATTTTTCTTACATGGTAAATTATAATCTCCACACCTAACTATTGCTTTGCAAATCGGAGGTTAAGACACCTACAGTGTTCCACAGGGGACAGTCTCCAGCATATTGCCAATTGCCTGGGACCCACCCCACAACCTCTCTCTCTTCCCTCGACACTACTTACATGATACACTCTAAGGGCTATTTCACTTAGATCCTCTCAAAAATATATTTTGAAAAACTATTTCATTTATTTAGATCTACCAAATTCCTTCTTTAAGTCTGTACCCTCATAGCCATAAAGCAAAGGGCATTGGGCTAAACATTAGGGGAAAGTTTTTACAAATCTCAGGGGTAGATACTTAGAACTATTGGCTACTCCTTTAAACATACAAGAAATTATTTTTTAAAATATGCATAAGGCAAGGTCCACAAGAGTTAATGTGGTCACGTTACTATCAAAGGACTGATCGTGCCAGTTGCGTTAGGCACTGATGGGGACCACAGGTGTCTGGTTGTACAGAATGACTCAAGTGGCCCCATGTAGCGCAACCTAAATTCCAGTTGACGGTGCACACTTTTTTGGAAAAAGAAGTAAGTATAACAGGAGCTGAGAAGACTCCAAGCCAGTCATTCTTTTTTCCACCAGGGTTTCCAATTAGACTCTTAGCTCGAGGTACAGTTGTGTTCTAACAGGAATGCTTCCCATCACCGTGCTGCCTTTGAGCCAGTGGGAGGTGCATTTGTGCTTCTGAGTTTATAAGGACATGAACCTTTACAGACTTGAAAATATACCCTTAAAATGCCTGGCCTTAAAAAAAAAATACTAAGCAACTGCATACATATAACAGGTCCCTCTGCTTTAGAAATGACTGGGGTGTAGATTTTAGGAGACAGGTGATGTAGTCCATAACTGGACAGAATCTGGAAACTGATGGTTTCCAAAGGTGGACTGGACAGAGTCAGTGATGCTGGTTTGAGGGAGAAACACTGAATAGGGTTTTCAAAGGATGGAAGTGAGAGATGTGTTTTATCTTAAGAACTGTACCCTCACAAAATCTTTAAAATAGACAATTATACAAAACATTATCTATTGTTCTCATAACATTTAAATAAATTAACACAAAGTGTAAAGTATGGCCTTAGCTTTCATCTTCCTCATCCTCTTTAATTACTGGAGTACCTAAAATGAAAAAGAAAATATTATTTCTGGTCCCTTTCTTTTCTGTCTTTTGAGACAGCATCTCTCTGTGCAGTCCTGGCATTTTTAGAACTTGTTATGTAGATCTGGCTGGACTTGAACTCAGAGATCCTCCAATCTCCATTTTGAGAGGACTGGGTTTTTTTTTTTTTTTTTTTTTTTTTTGGGGGGGTGGGGGGTTGTTGTTTGTTTTTGAGACAAGATCTCTCTATGTAACTTTGGATGTCTGGAACTCGCTAGACCAAGCAAGCTGGTCTTGAAGTCAGAGATCTGTCTGCCTCAGCCTCCTGAGTGCTGGGATCAACAGTGTGCACCACCACACATGGCTTGTTTTATCTTAAAGGGAAGGATTTCACTTCCTCTACGCAACTCTAGAACAGTGAAGACAAATGAACTCAGAGGGCCTCTCAGCTTCAAGTGAAGGTGAACAGAGAATGGCTGAAATCCAAGTCTCTATTGTTTTTTCTATTTCCTTTTCCTTTCCCCATCTGCTCCCTTCTTTATTTAGTGCTGGGGATTGAACCCGGGGCCTTAGACATGCTAAGTAACACTCTACCGCTGGACTATACTCTTGGCCATCTTCACTTTAAAGTAAAATATTCATTCATGCAAATGCAGTCTAAATTATTCAAAGGGCCACAGTGGTGAGACACACCTTTGATCTCAGCAGTCAGAAGCTAGGTGGTGGTGCACACCTTTAATCCTAGGACTCAGGATTAAGAGGTAGAAGGATCTCTGTGAGTCAGTCTAAAAGAGAGTTATAGCTCACGCCTTTAATCCCAACATTAGGAAAGTATATACGACAGGAGCAAGGTCTCAGTAAGGCATTCATTCTTCAGCCATGCTGAGAAAAGGTTACAGTCTGAGACTTGGTGAGAGCTTGTGGAGACAGGACTGGTCTATTCAGCCTGATAACAACATAATCCTCATAACAACACTATAATATGTCCTTTACATGATTACTAATGGTATTATTGTCTACAGTTTTTATATTACAAATCACAAGTTTTGATACAATTAATTAACAAGAATAATGTCCCAAAGCTTTTAAGTGTTAGAGCTGGGACTTGGCCCAGTCGTCAGGAATATCTACTGACATAACACAGACCTCAGGGACTGGGAACTAAAGTCCTGGGGGAGGAAGTGAGGGGAACAATATCATTCTGATTTAACTGTGAAGGGCAACTATTTGTCATGTATGCCTAAACAGGCCACGAAATAATATTCTTACAACTTGGGAATAAGTCTAGTTTCTTGTAAGATTTAAGCCCAGGGTGGTCTTTGTACCAGTCTAAAATTCCTAAGAGTTTCTCACCTTACTTGTCCTAAAACTGGATGATCAAACCGCAGAGGGCAGAGATGGCCTCAACAATGACAGACAACTTCCCTTTTCTCCAGTTTTGCTCCTCTACAATCCTACGCCAGGTTTCAGGTTTTGTCCCCAGGAAACGCTCCCGGCTAGCCCGGGGCCACTCACCGTCCAGCTTTTTCAGCTTCGGTACTCTCTTGGTTGCCTCCTCGATCCAGTTGCCCTCAGCAGCGTGCTTCTCCTCCAGGGGATTGCCGACGAACACCAGGTCTTCCAGGCATGGCAGTTCTGCCAGCTTCACAAATTCAGCTGCAAGCAGGAACAACAGCGTCCACGTTGACAAACTGGCAAGTCACACTCTCACGGTTTTGGAGACAGAATCGAACCACTGACTCCATCTGTGATTATGCTTTAGATTTTGAAGATGAAGGGAAACTTTATAAAGTCATCATTTGAGGAAATTATGAATGGGAGGGAAAAAATAGACCTATCTCGTCTACCTTTAATGGTGCTCTAATGACAGGGTGAATGGAGAAGGGTCAGTGGAGGAAAGAACAGCAAATCAATTTCTGAGGCACTGCATAAAGGAAGCTATACCAGCCGGCCTTTGTCTCTGAATTCTCAAAGCAACTCATTCAAATCCTTATTCCAGAACTCAAAACACTTTTAGAAATATTATCTAACTAAACGTTTTCCCTCTCAGCTGTGAGCTGAGAGGTTGGAGCAATCTTCCCATCCAACATGTTTTCAAGTGTTCGGCCTAGTTCACGGTGTATACGGCATAGCATTAGAGCACACTGAAAGAATAACATACAAAAAGAAGCAAAGCAATGTAGGCATCAAACCAGTGCTCCGCGTTTATTAAATGTAAGTGAATTTCTTTAGCCTTTGGATAATACATTTTTTCCTGACTAATAGGTCCAGGGCCTATGTAGCCATATTCACTCTAAGTCAATGTGTGTGCGCATGTGTTATGTAGCCATATTCACTCTAAGTCAATGTGTGCGCGCACGTGTACATGGGATGCGGATGTGGGACCTGAGGGTGGCATTAGGTGTCTTCCTTGAGTCCTCTTCACCTTATTTTTTGTGGCAGGGTCTCTCACTGAACATGGGCGCATGGATTCAGCTTGCCTGGCTGTTCACAGGCCCTGGGATCCCCATTGCTACCTCCCCACCACCACTTGGATTACAGACGCCCATTGTCTGTCCCCAGCTTGTACATGGGTACTGGGGATCTGAACTCAGGTTCTCATGTTTGTGGAGCAATGAAGCCATGTTCCCAGGTCTAAGTAAATAGTTAAAGATATACTCCTAATAGCTAAAATTTGGGAATTCCTAGAGTTATTCCCTCAGCTGTTTTTCTCTGCATTTAGAAGTGTTTCCCCATAGGAGGGTGCTCTCGCTTTTTTTAGTGTGTTGTGAGGTAAGTCTCACCACCTCAAACCCTGCCCTGCCTCAGCCTCCTGCCTCAGCATGTGGGGCCCGGCGTCTGCTGGCTGTTTTCTATAAATAGGAGGCAGGAAACTACCAAGTGCCTCTCTCAACTTACCCCAATCCTTTACCAGGTTATTAGACATGTAGAGGATCTTCAGTTTCTTCATTACATGGATTCCTTTCAACTTCTCAATAAAATTGTAGGAGATCCACAGTTCTTCTAGGGTGTCTCCTACTGCTTCCTGGAAAAGAAAGCATCTCATTTACAATCTTACTTTTACCCTTTGTGCCTATCTCTTTCCTTACAAACTCACGGAACGGCATTTAAAGGGGTCTCTGTGGAAGTTCTAGTTCATGAAAGGAACAGCAGGACAGAACATTCCCTCCCGCTATTAAGTGGATCTGAACTCTGTTCTCTAATTGCTTCACAAACACTCAACAACAGCTACTGAAATCACTGAGAAGTAATGGTACTATCCCGTCATCTTTATTGAATAGCAGTTTCAAATTACTTTCTTATAGGTTATAATATTTGATCCCGAGAAAACATAAAAGTAGAGAAACCAATTTAGTTTTTGTATTATATAAGGCTCTATCTAAGATCTCATTTACATTAAATCCCAGAACTTGTTCTAAAATTCAGGTTTTCCCCAACATTTATTAGAGGAAAAATTAATTATTAAAGCATTAAGAGCCCATATATCCAGAACATGCCATGGCCATTTTGCTGTTTTTATCCTATCTAGCCCTCTCTTACCCATCCCTCAGCCCACATTATCATTGTGTGTATCTTCATCATTCCTTAGGGGCTGCCTACCTTGTTCTTTGAGACAAGGTCTCTCATTGGCTTGGAGGTCACCAATTTGGCTGGGCTGGCTGGCCAGCAAGCCTTGGGGATCCCTTCTCTACTTCCCCAGCTCTGGGGTTACGGTCACATACTGTTGCTCTTCTTAAGCAGGTTCTGAGGGTTATGCTTGTGGAGCAGACACTTTACCAACTGAGCTAGCTCTTCAATCTCACCTTATCATTTAGGTATATAAAATTCAGTCTTAAACACTTGCTCTTTCTATTAGAGCATAAAATTATATTATACTGCCTCTTAAATGTTAGACAGCCACATTTGCACAAAGATTATCAGTGGACATTAGACAAATACAATCATCTTTCCCTTTAAAACAAAACAAAGTACTGGGCAGAGCTCACTCTGCTTGTGCCACCTCAACTCACATACTCATCTCAGTTTTATCTTTCCAAGTAGAAAGTAAAGGAAAATTTTAACCAGTCTTTCTTGGCATTCCTAAATCAGGACATTGGGACTTAACTAAGTTTTCTAAACTAATATTCTGGCATCTTTCCCCCAAAAGATCTAATTACAGTATCACACATAACTTTTAGAGCAAAAGAATTAGTCTTTAGACAATGTACAATTCATTCTATACAATTTTACTGCCTTGGACGCCTGTCTTTCTCATGTTGCCGTGAGGTGTGATGAGGCAGCAGAAAAACACCTTAAATGCTGAGAACACTGAGGTCTCAGCTGAGCTGGAACTCAGGGTGGAGGGTGGGCTTAGCATGCACCATGATCTGGGTTTCATACTCAGTATCACACTGTGAATACTGAAACAGAACAGGTAAGGGTCTTCCCTTGTGAACAGTATGTCAGAGGTTGTGAGAGTGGGAAGGTTTTATTGGCTGTTGTTAAGACTTCATATTTTGGACCATATAACAACAGATCATTATTATTTGATTAGTATAAAAAATTCAGACAATACAGAAAAACCCTGTCTTGAAAAACAAACAAACAAACAAACAAACAAACAAAAATTCAGATAGCAGGGCAGTGGTGGTATGTGTCTTTAATCCCAGCACAAGGAGGCAAAAGAAGGCAGATCTCTGTGAATTCAAGGCCAGCCTGCCCACAGAGAGAGTTCCAGGATAGCCTGAGCTGTTACACAGAGAAACCCTGTCTCAAAAAACAAACAAACAAACAAACAAAAAAAAAACCAAATAATATAACATTTCTTATATGACTTCAGAATTTATGAGTTCTAAATGCTTAGGACTGTTTGTAACCGATTACCCAGGTATATAAAATAAATAGTTCCATCCCTCAGGCAGCACTGAGGCTTAAACTGGGCCTTATACATGCAAGTTAAGTGTTCTACCACTGAGTTACAGCCCCAGCTAAAACAAATAGCCTTTTATCTAGTATACCACTACTTGTGGAAGCTAAGTTAACCCATTCATTGTATCAATGAAAATTAAAAATTCTCAGGAATACATTTTTTTGCTCAAGAAATGTAGAAGGTCTTATAGGAATGAAAACTTAAATACATTGATGAAGAACAACAAAGTGAGTAAATCTTCCTGTAAGAAGCTTCACTGCCATAAAGCATTTTTTAAAAATCAATCTATATATTTAATGCCTTTCTATTAAGAGTTCTAGAGGAATTTATACTTGTGAATGTGACAAAGTTATTCTCAGATTTCTCCAGAATAAACACTGAGGAAGTCATAAATGTTTTGCCAAGGACAGAGGACTTGTCCTAGTAGATGTCATAAATAACATAAAGCCAAAGAAACAAATAGGCAACAGATAGGTAGCGAGAATTTATGAAGGGAAAGAAAGATAACCAAGCAGGAACTCACTCACACATACAAGACTTTGGTGGACAGCATTTCCAAACAGTGGGAAAGGGACTTGAAAACAACTCATTTTTTTTTGTGTGTGTGGGGATTTTGACTGCATGAGTGCCTGTGCACCATGAGCGTGCAGTACCTGCAGCAAACAGAAGACGGCATCAGACACCTGGAACTACAGTTAGAGACCATTGTGAGCTGACATCCGGGAATAGGAATCAAACCTGGGTCCTCTGACAGAGCATCCAGTGCTCTTAACCACTGAGCCATGAATGTCAGTATTCAGGCATCTGTACTGGCCGGTCCTTGGGTTCTGATGGGATATGCCCTCAGCTGCAGCCACTAAGAGCACCACCTGTGCACATTCACTGTGACAGCAGATCCTGTCAGAACCCAGCCCCCAAAGAGACTTCTCTATAAATGGCTAGTAATTTAGAAAAATAGAAATAAATAATGTCTGATCCTTAGATACATGCAAAAATAAACTCTAGATGGAGTAAACTTTTACGTATACGTGTACAGCACACTTGTGCACGAGTGAGGACATGCATGTGTGTGTTCTTGTGCAGGTCAGGGGTCAAAGTTGAGTGTCTTTCTCTCTATTAGGATTTCCCACTAGACCTAGACCTCACCAATAAGCTATCCAGCCTCAGATTCTTCCTGCATCTGCTGCTCAGTGCTGAGATTACAAGTGTGTGGTGTGCCTGGTTTCTTCATAAGCTGGGGATCCAGAGTCAGGCTCCGCTGCTTATACAGTAAGTACTTTACTCCCGAGTCTAGAACAAACTTAAATACTACAGACAGGTGTGGTGCCACATGTACTCCTGGCATTCAGGAGGCTAAGGCAGGAGGACTGCTTTAAATTCAAAGCCAACTTAGGTTACAAAGACCTTGCCTCCATTTGCGTCATTGCATTCATTAACATCTGACGCACAGGTATCTGTTAGTATTTCTCCTATGACCACAATGTGAGCTCAATGAGAGCAAAGACTGCTTTATTTTTCATTTTTCTGGTTTTTCAAGGCAAGGTTTCTTCGTGTAGCCCTGGCTGCCCTGGCTCTTACTATGTAAACCAGGCTGGTATGGAACTCAGAGATCCTCCTGCCTCTGGTTCCCAAGTGCTGGGATTAAAGGTGTGCGCCATCACACCTGCCTAGAAAAGTCTGTTTTAAATTCTTCCAGGTACCCAGTACTTAGACCAGTCCCTGGCTTAAGGCAGGTATTCTTGGGGCTAGAGAGGTGGTTAAAAGTTCTTGCTCTGTAACCAGAGAAACAGTTTGGATCCCAGCACCTACAAACTAAGTCAGGCAACCCTACAAATGTCCAGCTCTGAGGGTGACAGAGAAAGAAGGATCCTTGGGTCTTGCTGGCTTCTTCGTCTAAAGCTTCTAGACAAAGGCTTCATGTTCAGGAAGAGACTTTGCCTCTCCAGAGATAGGTAGAGAGCACTGACCATCTACCTAGAGATGGCTCATCCAATAAAAACATTTGCTGAGGACCTGAGTTCAATCCCTGGGACCCACACAGTGGAAGAAAGAAGTGACTCTTGAAAGTTGTCCTCTGACTTCTCCATGTATAACTCTTTACACACACACACACACACACACACACACACACACACACACACACACACAGGTCAGTGAGATGATTCAGTAGGTAAAAGGGTTTGCTGCAAGCCTGATGAACCGAGTTTAGTCCCCTGTACCCACATGATGGAGAACAGTGTCAGCATTCTCCTCTGACCCCCACAAGCATGCCATGGTATATGCATATACAAACAAACACACACATAGGCATTCTGGGAACATGCCAAATGGATTTATTCAAAGGATTACATGAAAAAGATTTCTGCATATTAAAATTTAAAAGGAGATTCTGAGCTTAGAGTATCAGGCTTTCTGCCAAGCCTGATGACCGGAGTTCAAGTCTCAGGACCCACATGTGGAGGGAACTCATCTCCTCAAGTTGTCTTCCGAAATCCACATTCATGCCGCAGCACAAGCATAAACACACACACACACACACACACACACACACACACACACACACACACTGTAAATATAAATGAATAAAGATAAAGAGAAATACAAAACAGCATGTATAGTGCAATTTCACCTTACGGACTCATCAACCCAGACAAGCAAACGCCAGCACTCTTAAACTGTGTGTGGTTTGCTGCTACTTGTCGTAATCAATCTTCTACTTGTAAAGTTTCTACAACATAAAAACATTATTTTGTAAGAAAAAGAATATGCTTTTTAAAAAATCAAACAATAACCTACCAGTCCATTGAGGTTCTTTATGTTGTTTCTTCCTAAGGACAAAATCCTTAAGTTTTCTGTAGTGGAAAGAAAGCATATTGTTTATAAGAAACATACACACACCTATCCTCAGTCCAGTAGGAATGTTACAGAATAAATATCTCTAAACTTTGAGTTTAAAGGCTCTACTGCAAAATAGGTAATGGAGCTGGCAAGATGGCTCAGCAGATGTTTGCTGCCAAGCCTGATGGCCTGGTCACTGCTCAGGACCCACTTTGGGGCAGGCCCCCACAAGCCGGTCCTCTCATCTCTATACCCATGCAGGTTACTTCAATTACAGAAAAGTCGAAGAGAGGAAAACCCTGAAATTGCCTAAATTATTAATGAGTCAGCAAAAAGGAACCAAAGGCACCATTTTAGACACAAGCTCAGTAGTAGTTAACAGTTCCCCTGAACACTCACTCACTCGATGGTCATGAGGGATGGGCGGGGAAGTGATAGGCACCACCTATGGCTAGGATGTGAGACAGCCCCCTAAAAGGCTGAGTATTAAAGGTTTGGTTACAAATGCCACAGTGTTCAGAGGTGTGGGAAACAGGAAGTGAAGGTGTGGGAAACAGGAAGTGGGGACAAAGGGAAGAAGCAGGCCAGTGTGGGAGACAGGCCTTGCTCATGGCCCCTTCCCCTCTCTCTTTTGGGAAGCAAGCCAACTTTCCTCTGCTGTGACAGCCTCCCAAGTCACCACTTTGTTTCAGGCCCAAAGCGACAATCTAGATGAGCTTGGCCCAAAACTCTGAAACCATCAAAGTAAATTCCCTGCTACAGTTTCTCTTGGCATTCATCATGGGGTCAGAGGTCTGACTGACATGAAGATAGGAAGGTTTCCAAGCTTCCTCTTGAGGGTCTCCACAGGACAGAGCATGTTCCCAACTATAACCATTGCTAATCTTCGTGTGTGTGTGTTCGTTTTTTTTAGTACTGGAGATTGAACCCAGGGCTTCATGTGACCTGCATTCAGGGGGGTCTAGTTCAGTCCTATGTAGGTTCTACTGCTGTCAGTCCAGGGTTGGTGAGCTCTCGCTAGCTCAGATCAGTCATTGCTGTGAGTTTCCCATCATGGTCTTGACCTAGTGCTTAGTGGTGGATCTCCATCTGCTTCCATCAGTTATTGGATGAAGGGTGGACAATTACTGTGGTCCTCAATCTGATTACAGGGGAAGGTTCAGTTCCCCTTTCTACTACTGCCTAGAGTTTTACCAGGGGACACCCTTGTGTATTCTGGGGAATTTCCCTACCGATAGGTTTCTTGATAACCCTGTAATGGTCCCTTCTATCGAGATACTTTTTTCTTTGCTCTCCTCCCTGTCCCTTCATGCTCCCCTCCCCACTTCTCCCCACCCCTCCCGTCTCCTCTTTCACTGTCCTTACCTCCTCCCACACTCCTAATTTACTCAGGAGATCTAATCCAATTCTCCTTCCCAGGTGGAACCATGTATATTTCTCTTAGGGTCCTCTGTTACCCAGCTTCTCTGGCTGACCTTAATGTCTTACAGGGTTTTCCTTGGGAGATGATGCTGCTGTACTCAATGAGAAGCACTTTCTAAGCAAATGTACAAAAAGGAAAGGTATGGTCAGGCATGGTGTTGCACGCTTTCATCCCAGCACCCGCGACAAAGAGATAGGTGGATTTCTATGAGTTTGAGGCCAGCTGGGCCTACATAGTGAGAGCCTATCTCTCAAACAACACAAACAAACAAAAAAAATCAAACAAAGAAAAAAAAAGACATGATGTTTATGTTTGAGAGTGACTAGGTCAGTGCAAGCTTTTAAATGACTTAACTGCAAGCACCATTAAATCACTATTAGGCAAATATGAATGATTAAAAGGTCTCTGATCTGGGATAATGGTATTTTCAGAATGAGAACTATGGTGTCAGTAAGGACAGTTAATTGAAGAACAGAAAGACAGAAAAGGTCACTTTGGATGAAGTTTTAGAGTCCCAGCCAGGCAGTGCTTTTCAGAGCACACAAGGGAAGAGCTAGCCTTTAATACGTCATGAGATCAATTTAGTGTGTTGTGGGCTAGGTGGATAGCTAATTGCTAGCATGAAGACCTGAGTTTGATTCCCAAAATTCACGAAAAAAAGCTGGCGTGTAATCCCGGCTCTTGTGAGGGGAAGACAGGCAGACCCCTGGGCCTGGCTGACCAGCCACCCTAGTCTACTTGGCCAGCTCCAGGCCAATCCAGGCCAGTAAAAGAAAGCCTCTTTCACAGCGAGGTAGATGGCTTTTAAAGAATGACACCCAGTGTTGACTGAAGCACGCACACATGGACACTCACTCAAACACACACTGACACACACATTTAGTGTGTTATGCCTGACATAAGAAAAGAAATCAAGATTTAAAATTCACATTAGAACTTATGCTACAAGGCATATGCTGTTTTCCAAACTATCCCAGTTTACACATACACATTTGATTTGTACATTTATAGGATAGTATAATAAGTTCAAATATGTTTGTTTCCTGTAAGACTTAGGAGGAAGCTAGTGAGGCTCTACACCAAAGGCTCTGCTCCTGGAAATGGAAAGTGGCAATCACTTCAGAGGACCCTCACAGAAGAGAACAAACAGGACTCAGTGGGGGACTTGAAGCAGGGCTTGGTGCTGCAGGCAGGGGGTACCACCGACTAAACAATGGCTCCCCCAAAGATACCTACATGCTGGCCCCTAGACCCTGTGACTGGGACTTTGTATGGCAGAAAGGTTGGGAGGCAAAGGCAGGTGGCGCTCTGAGGTCAAAGGCTGCCTGGTCTACATCGTCAGTACCAGGACAGCCAGAGCTACATAGTAAGACCCTGTCTTGGAAAACAAAAACAAACACAAACAAGCAAACAAACAAAACAAACAAAAAGGAAAAGAAAGAAAACAAAGATCTTGAGATGGGGGTCATCTTTACTATCTGATGTGCCAAGTGTCCTCGTGTCCTGGCGGTAGGGAGGCAAGGACTAAGCACAGACAGATTAGAAGGTCCTTTGACCACAAAAGCTGAAATTGGCACCATGAAGTCAGAAGCCAAGGAATGTGGGGGCCGCCTGGAAACGGAACAAGTAAGAGAAAGATTCCTCCTAAAAGCCTCAGGGAAGGCTCCATTTATGGCTCAGTGAACTAATTTCATATTTGCAACTTCTTAAACTGTGAGAGAATACACTTCTGTCGCTTAAATCACCACAGTGCAGCAGCCATTGGAAACTAACTGAGGACGTAAGCAGCAGAGGTAGGGAGCGTGGAGGCATCGATCACACCGATAAAGAACAGAGAACACAGAGATGGCCCGGCTGACAATTTAAATACAGCAAGTTTGAAACACAGACAAGACAAATCTGAGCACAATAGAAAGTCTGTCTGCCATGGCCATCTCAGCTCTAACTCCATGTAAGTTTTAGAGGGATTTAAAAATAGTCAGGTCTCGTGCCATCTCTCATTTTCTTTGGATAACCAAACTCACGACATGGTTACATCTGGTCTCTGTCATTTGACATGTACTGTGGTTAAAACAGGTGCTAGCATCTGGAATGACACATATCTCTGGAATGTTTGCTCCAGTAACTAGAAAGCCGAGAGCCATCTGTCCCTGAGGATCACTTACTTAAGCCGTTCAGGTTGGCAATTTTTTCAATGCAGTTTGTAGACAGGGAAAGCTTCCTTTAAAAGAACAAAGAAAAGTTTTAATTAATTTGAAACACCTAAGTGGAATGTCAGAAATTATTTCTCAATAGTAATAGTCCATGGAAGATTTTTAATTCATGTTTCTTTTTGTACTGAATTCATTTTCCCCTTCATTTGCAGAATTTATTCCTTCATTTTGAAATCTCTCCCCCATTGATTATAAAAGTCAATACACTCATTACAGAGAATTAAAAACAAACTTTTTTAAGGGCAGTTTGGTGTTACCTATTAAATGTTTAGTTCATGTATTCTTTGATTGAATGTTTCATAGTCTTCTGAGATATTATTTTTATTGCATTTTACAAATAAAATTGAGGCGCAAAGCTGTTAAGCCACAAGGTGGCAGGGCCAAAATTAAAACCCTAGAACATGTATCTTACCCTTGTGATTCGACTTGAGGAGGAATTATTCATTTTTAATCTGCTTGAAAAAGCAAAGGCAATTACTATATAAATACCAGGTAAGTAAAGGGCCAAAGCTGTGTGTTTTCTACTCACTCACCCACTCTTGATTTAAGGAATGCCTTTAAATCTAAGGCTATGGCTGGGAAGGAACTCTTTAGTTTCTTTTTAGGCAGCCTGTCCAAAAGATGTCTGCAAAAAATATGAACAGCCTGACTCTATGTGGCTTATGAGCTGCTTTGTGTAGCTCACAGGCCTCAAACTCATTGCCTTCCAGATGATTTTATGATAAAACCACATTTGATTACTTTGAAGTCATAGTTGAAACAAAACGATTTTTTTTTTTTTTTTTTTCTGGTTCATCACAAGGAACAAGCTGTACTGGGTAACTGAACATGCTTGCTTTTCCTTTTGATCCAAAGATATCACTCCTATAGGTTCACAGATATGTGTCTAACAACAGTCCAGTTTGCTTACTGTAAATAAGACACTCAGGTTTCATTAAGAGCCCTCTGCTTATGTGAAATTGGGATCGGGTTTATCTCCTACAGAAAGGGCAAGTGAAGGGATCACAATTTGATAAACACAGGGTGAAGGAACCCCAGGAACTCTAGAGTTTTCTCCAGCCTTGACAAGAGACAAGGAAATATGAAAACATGGGTATGATGTATCAGAGAACAACTTTCAAGTTAGCAACAGAACCCTGCTAAACAATGACAGAAAGTTTGGAAAATAAATTGTAGGAATTAATAACAACCTGATATTTAAAGTCCTGGGAAATAAAATTACAAAAACAGTATAATTTGATCCCAATTAGAATTTTTTGTTTGCTCATTATCTGACCCTGTGCTAATGATTCTCCTGCCTCAGCGTTCCAGGAGCTGAGGTTACAGGCATATGCCACCATACCCAGCCTAATTAGGGTATTCTCAAAGTCTCACAATGTATTTCAACTTAGGTTGATGCTAATTCCTTTTTTAATATTTATTGTATTTTGAACTGTGCTTTAAAATTCTTTTTTAGTAAACAAACATAACTATGGTCTTAGGTAGCTTTACAAGAGAAAGCAATAGACTGATAAATTTTGTTTTATTATTTTATTGCTATCTTCACTCTGTGCGTGTGTGTCTGTGTGTGTGTGTGTTGTGCACATGTGTACACACAGGTGGAGGCCTACTGTGGAGGACTTATGCTTCTGAATCACCTCCATCACTCTTCTACCTTATTCATTGAGGCAAGGCCTCTTAATCAAACAGAGCTCACTGATCGGCTCCAGCATTGATGTGGGTTCTGGAGATCTGAACTCTAGTTATTAATGTTTGGCAAGTGCTTTAACCACTGACCCATCTCTCCAGTCTCCTTCTCTAGCCCTTTTTTATTTTTATTTTTTAATTTTGAGAGTCTTGATAAGTTTCCCAGGTTAATGATAAATTTGATCCCCCTGCTTAGGAAGTAGACTGCATAACAAAGCAATAAGCTATTGTGCTATGGAGCTTCTCTCAAAAGACTGGGACACTTCTGTCTATAAACACTGTATAAAAACTGCAGAAAAAATGCTTCATTGTTCAGTATCACTATCAACAATCTCATAAGCCAATACATTTTCACATTTGGCTTTGTCAAGAGAGAAACTACAGTAAGCAACAACGACAATGACCACAGAAAGCAAACAAATTTGTGTACGAAAAGGAAGGAGACCAACAATGATAGGATGAGAACTTACTCGCAGTTAGCAAGTGTGGACAGAGACGCATCCATCTTCTCTATTGGGGGGATCTGGGCATACAGCTTTATCTCTCTGGCCTCAGATGGCCTCTGACCAGTCTTTTCTTCCTATGGGAAAAATTAATTTGGCAAAAGTGATCCTTGGTAATAATGTGGATCAAAAGAGGTCAGAATTGCACAAGGCATTTCCATGTTTGTTTCAAAATAATTATTATGCTTTAATAACTTGGATTATTGTTCACCAGTCACTTACTGGCATTTTTATTTGTCAGCCTTAATAGCCATGCTTCTACATATGAAAATAAGCAGAAAAGAACTTCTATTTGTAGTATTTTAAATTCTTTAAGAGTCTCTCAAATAATAGCTGAGCAGTGGCAGTGTACGCCTTTAATCCCAGTGCTCATCCCTTCAACCCCTAGAGCTGAACCCAGCATTTCACATGGCTTTTGGGGATCCGAACTCAGGTCCTTGTGCTTGTGCAACAAACATGTTGCCGACTAAGTAATCTTCCCAGCCTCTCTGTGCTTATTTCCATCCCTTATTTTTAGGTTCGAGCACAGGAAACTGATTCTTACTTAGTAGGTCTTCAGTAAGTGTCAGGTTATGTGTGCCAACGTGATGGGCCTACAGGACTCATTAATGCAAAAGGCCCAGAAGGACAAATATTTCATGTTCTCACTCATGCATGGAGTTGATCTTATCTTTCAGAAGTCAAGAGTAGAATAATGGTTACCAGAGGCTGGGAAGAATGGGGAGAAAGGAAAATCAGTTGAGTCAGTTAGGAGGAGCAAGCTATGGTATTTTCTGGCAAGTAGGGTGATTGTGATATATAGATGAGATTGGGTGCAATCAGGGTGGTATGACCATAAATTAAGTATATATTTCAAAAGAGCTATAAAATAAGATTTTTGAATGTTATTATCACAAAGAAGAAATAAAAATTTTGAGGTCAGAGAATTACCTTGACATAATAATTATCTGCTTTAAATATGTATCAAAATGTCACATTGTGCTCCATACATCTATACAACCATCATATGTCAGTTAAGACTTAACTGTTAAAAAGAGTTAACTGTTAAAAAGAGTTAATCAGTGTAAGAATATGCTTAATGCCTTCAAATATCTTAACATCAAAGACTGTTGTCCATAATGTTACTAGAAATAGACTCTATGAACCAAAACCAAATGAAGCCAAAACAAAACTAAATATTATGAATAAATCATTTCCTAAAATGTAATTTAAGAAAGATAAAATCTTTCTTAACAAATTTTATGAAATATTTAACACAGACGTGTACGTGTGTAGTATTTGTGTGTATTCAAGTGTGTTAGCATGCATGTACAACTGCCCATGAAAGCCAGAGATTGATGCTGCGTGTCCTCCTCAATTGCTCTCGTGTGTGTGTGTGTGTGTGTGTGTATTTATTTTGATTTTATTTATTTCTGTATCCCTGGATGACCATGAACACATTATGTAGTCACATGTGGCCTTGACCTCTGGTCATCTTGCCTCCATCTCCTGAGTGCTAAGATTATAGGCATGCCTACCGTGCACCGTTTTATGTGATACTGGGGATCAAACCCCAGGCTTTGTGTATACTAGGAGAGCATTCTATTCTACCAGTTGAGTTTCATCCCCAGCATCCACATTTCTAAGACAGTGTCTCCCACTGGAGCTCACAGATGCAGCTAGACTGGCTGGTAATCCCCAGGAATCCTCCTGTCTCTACCTCCTCAGCACTGGGATTTACAGGTGCTACTGCACCTAGTGTTTTATGTGGGTGCTGGAAATCTGAACTCAGGTCCTTGTGCTTCTGCAGTAAGCACTGTACAACTGAGCCATGTCCTCAGCCCCAAGAATGATTCTTTAAAATGCAGTTGGAGTAAATACAGAAACCTGTAGGCACCAAATCCAAGTACTTCATGATTCTACTCACTTTTGCCTATTTTCCCAGATACCTAGGCTACTGAAAGACTTTTATCCGAAGTCTAGCTATAGAGCAGGAGAGATGCCTGGTTTAGTGGTGAAAAAGGTAATTCAGGAGTTAGGTATGCACGCCTTGGTGGTGCACGTGTAAAGTTCTGTGTTCCATTCACTCCCAGTACTACATACACACAAAGTCCTTAAAGAGATCATACATCCAGTTTTCCCCAGTGGTAATGTTCAGCAGAACTGTAACGTATCACAACCAAGGTATTGTTATTTTCATACTCCATCACTTTATGCATATTTCCCCAATCTGCCTGGCATACTGGAATATATGAGTATGTGATATTTATATTGTATGCTAATGCCTATACAGTTCCATTACTTGTATAGGCTCAGGCATCCACCACCACAGATAAGATAGCTAAACAGTCCCCAAATCAAAAGAATCTCTTGTACTGAATGGTCAGATGTGAACAACAGCTTAATATTTTCCTTACAGTTTCTAAAAGAAGGAAAGCCCTTCTACTCACCCATCTGGACAGGGCTTCTTTGATTGTTGTTGCTTTAGCCTTAAAAAGAAGAAAAAGTAAAGTGGGGGGAAGGAAGAAGAAACAAAGTTGATTCACTCGTAAAGCAATAATTACTGGCCTCGGCCTCTATCCTTAAAACATTCTCCGAATCTCTAAGATATAAGCACAATTCATCTCCTGACAGCCAGGTGATTTCTTTAAGAGAAAATACATATTGATATCCAAACATTTCATTCCAAGTTAGTCTCTAAAAAACACGCAGCTTTCAGTACTAAATATTAAAATAAATCTTACTTCACCGATTCTATATCCCTTTTATATCTTAATGTTGAAAAGTGAGTGCATATTCTAATTAGGAAAAATTTACAGTTGCTGTGGCAAGATAGCTGTGGTAAAATTTTAGATTTTAATTTTATTATACACACACACACACACACACACACATACACACACACACACATTCCTTTTTCATGTCTGCAAAGGATAACCTGGCAAAAAACATCTACTAAGTCTAAAAATGTAAAAAAGCCATAAATAAAGAGCTCTATTAATAAATACAAGAGGGCTGGAGACAAAACAGACCAATCTGTAAGCATCAATCATTAACTAATGCATGGGGGGGGGGGCACATTTATTTGAGTAAGTGCAGGAAAACATAAATGTCTACACTGGATAGCAAAAAGCTTTCGGCTGAGAGTTAAAAAGAAATCCCTATAAAAAAGCCTGAAACAAATACCTTTAGTTCATTTAGTTCAATAACTGTTCATTGTGTGTCTACCATGTGACAAGCATTCTTCTATGTTGTATTTTTCTGAGATGACAGATATGCACCATCATACCTGGCTTTCTATTTGATTTTGACATATCAATGTACAAAACAAATTCCTGCCTTTCTAGAAATTACATCTATTAACAAAAATAGATGTAGATGTATGTATATAAAATATGCACATACATATATATAAATCTGATATTTATGTAACCATAGATATATCATATGCATACATAAAATAAAGAAATAAATATAAAACGATAAGTAAATATAAGCAAAGTAAGCAAACGTTATTTTAAAAAACCAGAACACTGAGGTTAGTAAATGGTATCAGGTTATAAGCATATATGTGTAGAGGACATTTGTTTTAAATAAGATGGGCAATATAGACTAACTTGGACATTAACATTAAAATAATTTTCTTTAGGATCCCAAACACATCAAGGATGTCCATTATCATTGCTTTGTTAATGTTGTAATAAAAGAACTACATATTGGAATGACCTAAAGAAGGAAATTAAACTGTCACCAAGTACAGATGATGATCTATGTAGAAACCCAAAAATATAAGCTGCTGTCAGCAAAAACGGTTCAGTAAGTGAAGCACACCATGACAAAGTCAACAACAAAACTGGAAGAAGGTATTTTCCTTTTGAAACCAATGAAAGACTATGACAGCATCTACTAAATACATGGAGCTACTAAAATTCACAAACAAAAATTTTTAACTAGCAAAACTAAAGCATGAATTAACAATTCATAGACAATAAAGTTGAGTAACTGATAGACTATGAAAAATTGTTTATATTCATTGAAAAGCAGAAAAAAAGTAAAACAAAAGAATACTGTGTGTGTGTGTGTGTGTGTGTGTGTGTGTGTGTGTGTGTACACATACATTTTTAGATTACCAAAAGTTGTTGGTAATACAGAGAAAGAGGACCTCTTATGCAGTGATGGAGGAAGTGAAAACTGCTCTATGTATCCTGGAAAGGGAAAATTAAGTACACACAGACTCTTTGACTGAACACTCCTACTTTTATTTCCCAGGGAAATCCTTGCCTGGACTCATACAAAAGTGACACATGAAAGAACCCTTTCACAATATTGTTGGACAGAGTTAGAGGCAATCTAGCTACTTCTTGCAATATAGTTTGCTGTAGGAGACTGGTCCCTCTTACTGATAGGAGCCAAATTTCCTAAGGGACCAAGTGGACACTATAATTGGGTAGAGCAGTAAGTGGAGCTCATGTAAAGAATATAATTTTTGCCGGGCAGTGGTGGTGCATGCCTTTAACCCCAGCACTTGGGAGGTAGAGGTGAGCAGATCTCTGTGAGTTCAAGGCCAGCCTGGTCTACAGAGGGAATTCCAGGACAGTTAGAGATGTTACAAAGAAGAAACCCTGTCTCAAAAAACAAACAAGAAAAGAATATAATTTGTACTCAATATAATTTCTGGCTGGTGGGAACTTACAGAAAAAGAAGTGTCTTAATACTACATGTCTTCAAATATAAAACTCCATTTATTAAATAATAACATGATTTCATACACCATTAAAAAAGAAGAGCTGCCAAGCATTGTAGCATATGCTCATGATCCTAGGATTCAGTAGGCTGTGGATCAAAAGTTTGAGACCAGCCAAGGATACACAACAAAATTGCAAGGCAAACAGAAGTCATCCTGAAAGACTTCGTCTTCAAAGCCAGAAAATAAAATATGCCATTAATTTAAGCATATTTGGTAACATCAAATGTGAACAAAAATGATGTCCATGGTGAAACATGGCACTTCTAATTTTTCAGAAAGGCTAGAAGAAACCTGAGGTGTTTGTTTGTGTGTGTGTGTGTGTGTGTGTGTGTGTGTGTGTGTGTGTGTGTACATGCACACATGAGCAATAGTGTGTGGAGGTCAGAGAACAAATTTTGAGAACTGACTTTCATTCTCCAACATTTGGGTCCCAGGATATGAGGGCTCATACTTAAAAAAAAAAAATCCAAGTACTATGTGGGTCTGTGTTTCTGAAGGGACCAGGACGATCAGTATGCAGGTGGTGAGAGAGAGTACATGACTTCATGATTTTAACATGGGCTTAATTTTTGGAAATAGATATAGCATTGGAAACACACACACACACACACACACACACACACACACACACAATTATGCTGTTTTGCTACTTTCTTTTCTTGTGCAGAGCTGGAGATCCAACCTAGAGTCTCACACACATGCTAGGAAAGCACTCTACTAGTTCCACCAGAGAGGGATACCCTCCCCACCCCAACAATGTATCTCAGACTGAGGATGACCTCGAACTTTTTTGCTCATTCTGCCTCCACCTTCTGAGTACTGGGATAACAGTATGCCTGATAATATATGGGGCTGGGGATTAAATCTGAAGTTTCATGCATGCCAGACAAACACTCTTAACAACGGAGTTACATCCTCGAACCTCCAATATTCATCCTTTCTCAACATCTCTAGTCAACCTCATTCTTCGCTAAATAGTTTTGGCTGGGCTGGATCTGACATCGCTTTCAAACTAATAGTTTGAAATACCAAGTATGCAAGCAAAAGAGCGCACGTTTTCCATGTTGACAAGCAGCATTAGTTAAAATCGTGGTTTCATAAGAACTTTGCATAGACCATTGGTAGACCGCAAACCTAAACCAGCAGTGTCTCTCCAAGTGTAGTTGAGGTGCATAGTCAAAACATTCCTGAACCCTCTGTCATATTAAAAAACCAATAATTTGCACTCCGACGAAGCTCATACTTACTCTTAATGGAAATGGAGGAACACTGGCCTAATATAGCCATCAGAGAGACCTTTAACAGCGTCACCTAATAAATAACAGGACTCACCCTCACAGTCAATGAGGGCAACCGGGCACACCACAGGCTACTAACGCTGCTGCAGCAGGAGCCCTCGGTAACCAGCCCCGGCCCCTCCATCCCGCCAGGGGGTGAGGAGAGTTAAGATCACGGTTATACGAAGAGATCTCTTTACCACAGCCCCCATCCTATCACGGTTCCCTCTACAATCCGCTTTTCTAAGAATTTCCAGCTGTCTTTCCTTTTCTTCTGTCACAGTCCCTCCAGCTTAACCCAACTTCCTGTCAGCCTCTGGCCTCCCTCTCCGCAGACCACCCCCTGCCCGGGCTGCTCCGGCCTCGGGCCTGCGGCTCCATGGAGCCAGCATTCCCTTCTTCCTCCCATCCGCGGTGCCAGCGCCCCGCCACCCTCCACACCCCACAGTCACCCCCTTTTCCACTCCCAATCTCCTCTCGGGTTTGGCTGCGAGGCCTGGAGGGTACTCACCATTCCGGCGGTTGCTACCGTCACTGTTCTGGTTGCTAGGGCCCACCGGGGTCAGTGCGCAGGCGCACCTCTGGAGTGCACGGTCGGCTGCACTGGCAGCGGTCCTTTCTCTCCGCCCTTAGGGTGGCGCGAGCGGGGCATTGTGGGACGGCTGGCGGCCCCCCGCGTCCTCCAACCCGGCTCTGCTGCACCAGAGCTAGTGAAGAGCGGAGCTCAGCTCCCCAGGGGAGTAGTCGCCCTGCTTTCCCAGCGCCAGTAATGCCTTAAGCTCGAAACTTTCAGACCTCCTGATAACATTTGCATTTCTGATATAAAAGAACTTAAAAAAAAAAAAAGTTTTAAAAGTCCTTCTCTGGAAAACCGACCGGAGAGGTTAAATTGTCTTCGGCAATTCGCTTTGCCGTCTAACTCAGTATACCCAGAGCTACACTATGAACTTCTCTTTTCCTTCCATACCCCCACAAGGCGCCTGAAATCTCAGCTGCACACTTACAGTATTACAAAATGTTACATTTCTGCAACCGAGGTATCTTTTTCCTTCCCTAAGAAGTCGGCTAGAAAATTTAAACCGATGCAAGTTTTAACAGAGTTGCTGGGGCATGCAGGGTAGGACTGTACAAACACACAGCTGCGGACAGTTGATGCCACTTTTCTGGGAAGGCTGTCGGCGATATGTATTTAAAAGCTTTAAAAACTGGTGTACCTTTGTGACCAAGCCAGGAGTTTTCAATCTTCGTCCAGAAGAACGGTCAACGAAGTACATGTGTAACTGCCCCGGCACATGTTCAAAACCTTAATAGGAAAAAGAAAAGCTAGATGTCAACAAAGGAGAGTTGGTTAGGTAAGTAGTATTAAACATACAAACGAAGGAATAACTGTGCTATTAAAATATTGTAGAAATACATGTATTCGTGTGAAAGGTGAAGGGAAAATGAGAAACGGACTGACTTAACCTCAAAAGGCCGAAGACTGCTTTATTGGAACAGCGAAGGCAGTAGCCTTTTTCCAGAATGAAGGCTGAACTCAGAGTGACCGAGGGGCATGTAAAATACATAGGTAGCCACTGGGAAGTGATAGTTGTTTTGTTTGTGGTTATACCCGGAGCGGGATGGGTTGTTTTCCATACCAGGGCCTGTTGTTTCTGCAAGTGGAATGGAATGGTCCGGTTGGAGCTAAACCATTCTTTATGGGCAGGGGCCATTGCCCAGTATAGCTTGATTCAGTTCCTGGTGACCTGAGGCTATTACCCAACCTAAAGGTATTGGTATTTTAAGTAAAAATTCAAGTTGCCAAGCAAAGTAAGTGACGGGGGTGGGGGTCCTCTTTAAAATTTATATGGTGCACATGAAGGTGCGGAAACATAGTTAAAAGGGTATTATAAAGGTGTAATAGTTGTTAGCCACAGAATTGTGTCTCCTCAAGATTCATATGTTGAAGTCTTAATGTCCATATCATAGTATCTAGAGCCTTTAAGGTGAAGTAGGATCATAATCCAGGACTCATGCATGTCCTTGAAGATCAAGAGACATAGTCCAGCAGTGGTGGCAAACACCTTTAATGTGTGCAGAGGCAGGCGGATCTCTGTGAGTTCCAGGTCAGCCTGGTCTACAGAGTGAGTTCCAGGACAGACAGGGCTACACAGAAACTCTGTCTCAAAAAATCAAAACAACAACAACAAACAAAAACCCTTCTCCTCAATTATATATTGGAGCAGTGATGTCCTCACTTTATACATCTGGTATTGAAACCCGCACTTTAAACATTTACCCCTATGCCAGTGTCATATTATCAGACATTTACTTGTCTCTGCAAATTAATTCAGCATATTTTGACACATTTCATATCAAGAACGCTGTGAGCTAGGTAATGTATCCTATGCCTTTAATACCAACACTGGAGAGGCAGAGGAAAGAGGGATCTCTGTAAGTTTAAGGCCAGCCTGGTTAACATAGCAAATGTCAGATTCTCACCCCCCAAAGTCACAGTCTGGGTCCAGCTCAGGCTGGCCTCGACTCACAGGCCTGCCTCTGCACACATTAAAGGTGCTGGGATTAAAGGCATGCATCACGATCACCCAGCTTCAAAACCATTACCTCTGGAAAGGGCTTTTAGTTTTTGATTAACTCAAGTAAGCCTGCAACAGACCAGAGCCCCATGCTGGTTCCCAGGCTGTGCCTGCTAACCTACCCTCCCCACCTCAACATAAGCCCTTGTAAGGTAGGGCTCTCCCACCAGTTTGCTGTCCTCTCTGCTCCACAGCTCTGCCCTGGCAGTTGCCAGCCTGCTCCTCTCCCTGTCTTTTCCCTCTGCATCTGTCTCTGTCCCTGAGAGGTAGCCATGGCAGACTTCCCCTAGATGCCTCTGGCTATTCTCTGTAGATAAGAGATATCTACAAACAAACAAAACACAAGGCTTTACCGTGAAAGCTGGGGCAGGGTTTCCAAGTTTGACAGGGCTGTACGAAGAGCAACAAGGTTTGGATAGTCATGCTTATGTTTTAACTGTCAGTGGGACAGCATGCAAGATTCAAGATCTCACACTCAGCATAAAGGAAGCAGTGATTTCTGACTGTCGCTAAAATCTCTCTCTGGCCACCAGGGGGCACTGTTCCCTAAACTTACTTACTGGAATGGCCCATGTGGCAGGACAAGTTGCGTCCTTTGGTGGGGGTGGGGGAGGATTTTTATTTTAGATTAAGAAAGATCATCACAGTTTGAATCGAAACATTTCAATCAGACACTGAATTGAGCTATCACATAGTAGGGGAAGGTAACAGAAACAGACAGAGGAAGTCCTCTCACTTGAAAGCCAGGAAGTTTCAAAACCGGTCTAGCTGAGGAGGGCACACACTTTGGTGGGCTGTTTTTAGTTGATAATGTGGTTTTAAAAATTTGTATTAACTTCATTTATTTAGGGGTGTGTGGGCACATGGGTGTTGTGTGAGTATGTCAGAAGAGAATTTGTGGAAGACAGTGACCCCCTTCTATCGTCTGAGTCCTGGCAGGGTTAGTGGTGGGATGGAGGGTGGGGGGAAGATGGGGGAGAAGACTCAAACTCAGGTCATCCTCCTTAACAGCAAGTGCCTTTATTCACTGGAACATCTGCATGGCTCAACTTTAGATATTCTGAAAACAAAAAACAAAACAAAACAAAAAAACTAAGTCTTCTCATCGGTTGGCACAAGTATTAGTGTATCATTTTGTATGTGGAAAAACACCCAGACACTTCTGGTATATGACTTTAATAGATTTTGTTTTTGAGAAAGCATTGAACTCACAAAATAAAACCATAAGTTTTATTCTTAAATGTATGTGTATAAAAATGGTTCTAGAAGGTTTTGTTTTTTTTTTTTAAATCAAGTTAGCAAATGTATTACAGTCCTGTTGAGAAAGTTATAGATCACCATGCATTTAAGGCCAAATTAAGAGTCCTTTAAGCACTGACTGGGAACAGGCTGTTGCCACAAAGAACTCTCAAGTTCAAAGTTCAAGGGCACAGCATTTATAAAGGTAAAAAACAAAATAAAGCCCAGGAGAACCATGATGCCATTGCCAGGAGTAGCTCAGGGAACATGGTAACATTTGTTTAGGCTATGCATTCAGGAGTCATTTTGGTTATATATCTGGGCCTTGGTCAGGGTCAAGGAAAGTTCCAAATGTGTTTTCAAACTGGACATGACTGTTCAGAGCCATCAGGGGCTAAAGAGCACCTGAACAGGTACAAAGTGATGTTAGGGCAAGAACAGTCACTTCAACAGCAAGCTACCCTTGGAAGAAAGCTGGGATCGGGAAATGAGCTAAGACAAATGCTATTTTATCTGCACCTCTTGAATCTCATTCGGTGAAGAATGTATCTTTATACATAGTCAGTGTGGTTTGTGTTATGTTTTGAATATGAAAGTTGGCCCCACATTGTGCACATATATCCAGGAAAAACAATTTATACATATAAAATAAAACTAAAAATTGTAAAAATAAGGTGAGCATATAGCAGAGCCTAACTTAAGAGATGATGCTTCGGAAGAATTAAGAACCCTGCGTGTTCAGTTGTCGGAAATGTGTAGCCGACTTAGACAAAAACAAGCTCTCTATCGCTGAGCTATGTCCGCAGCTGCTTTCTTTTTTTTCAAACATTTTGAGTCCAGCTTTCAATCAAGTACCGGATTTGGACTTCAACGAGCGCTGTTACCCAGGAGGACTGTGGACTTGCAATCTTCTCGCCTCAGCCTTCCAAGTGACGGGGACTAAAGGACCTTCAAGTGTAGCCAGTGGCTAACCCAAACATGTGTTTACTTTTAGATGTGCCCACTAGCCTTATTCACCCAGACAGAAATACATTCAAGAATACTGGGTTTTCCAAGGAAAAGACGACAATGGGTTAGATTTGGTTATGCTTTATTATTTAAAAATTTATTTTAAACTATCTAAAAATGAAAATTTGTATACATTTAGGGGTACCATGTCGTGATGAAGTGAATGGGACCCCCCCACACCATAGAGTCACAAATTTGAATCCTTGGTTACTAGTTTTGCTTGGGGACATTGTGGAACTTCCAGGATATGAGTGAAGCCTTGATGGAGTAAGATTATCACTGGGAGTGGGGCTTTGAGAATCTATAGTGTCTACACCCTCCCTCTGTCTCTGTCTGTCTTTGAGTGTGTGTGTGTGTGTGCATGTGTGTTTCTTCCATATGGATAGGAAGGTGACTAGCAGCTTCCTTCTCCAGCCATCTGTGGTCCTGCATTCCCTGTCACTGTGGGCTCTAGCCCTGTGGAACTGTAAGCCATAAGTTTCTTTTGGTCACTGGTTTTCATCACAGCAACAGAAAGGAATGGATACATATGCAATGCTTTGATACATGAATATGTCCTATAATGTTTAAGGCAGGCTAATCATATCTCCTCCAACATATCATGCTTGTGGTAAAACAACAGCAAAAAACATTCAAAACCGTTTCTGACTTTTCAAAGCACACAGCACATTATCACTCTTCCTAGTCACCCTGCTGTGAATGGCACACACCTGTCACTCACACCTAACTGTAACTTAGTTTGTCTCCATGCCCTCAGCTCACCTCACTCCAGAGTGTTAGCCACAGTCTCAACTTGG